AACCCTAAACCCTAAGGGTAGTTTAGGGCCCTCCAGGGTTTGGGGCTTGGGCCTCAAAACTAAAACCTCTAAATCCTGATCAAACCATAGGGCCCACATTCACCAAGCAAACATAGAAAAGCAAAAAGTGAGTTGTTTGGGCTTCTGGGTTGACATATCTTAGTGTTCATGAATAAGGGGACCCTAAGAAAATCAAAAGCCTTGTTGTAGATATTTACAAGAAGGTACACCTGATATTGGGAACCTGCAGATTTAGCTTTGGAAGCGTGATTTCTGTATTTGGCGGATATATCCGGGGCACGTAATTTGATGAGCCCAGCCCGTATAGATCCCTAGTGGCCCACTGGCCTGGAGATAGATACATGGATAGATAAAGCCATGAACATGTTTCTTACTTTCCCATGCTATCATATACTTCTAAGCGCCAGCTTGGATTAGCGTTTCTACCAGGACTGTCGTGCTGATAGAGACAGGGAGCCCAGGATTTCGCAGGTTCCAGGTAGTTCAGGTTGCGAAAACACCCGTGCAAACCCTAAGCCCAAGGGCCCAAGACCGGACGGCCTCAACCCTTCATATTGTCTGGCAATCCTCCTACAGGTGCGCCTTCAGAAGTTTCTTGGCATGAAGTCAGTGCTAGGGTTTTGGATTTAGCGTCCAGCGCTTCAAAGTTCTTGTGACGTTTCGATGCAGGTTACACCTACTTAGGAATGGTTTCTATGTTGTATCCTAGTCTAGCTCCAAGGAAGTACCAGACGCAACGCTTTTATCATTGTAGGTCTCCGGGGATTACAGATTCAGGGCTTTTTTGATTAGAGGGTTGGGTTTTGGGTTCCCTAAGCCCTAAACACTCTAAACCTTAAACCCCAAACCTTAACCGTAAACCTTAAACCCTAAACTGTAAGCCCCAAACCCTAAACCTTAAACCCCAAACCCTAAATCTTAAACCCTAAACACGAAACTTGGTACGCCTCTAGCTCTGCAGCTTGACCTTTGCTTTAGGGCTTAGGGCTTAGGGCTTAGGTTCAGCTATTGCCCTGAGCCCTAAACATCCATGCCTGCTCCCAAACATCTGTAACTCAGTGACTACGGAGCCTTGTGATGCACAGTTGGACGAGCGGTCTATGCAAAACTCGTGAATTGCAGTTTCGGCAAGTTGGAGTTAGGGCCTGGGATTGGGGGGTATGGATTCTTAGGGGTTGGGGGGTTGTTAGTGAAGAAGGGGATATCATTAGCCCCCTTAAAAGGTCTCTTCTATGTGATCTTCTTGCGTGGAGTGCGTTGGGATTTACTATCTGAGAAGGGTGTGAAAACAGCTACCACCAGGCTCGTCACGTGGTCTTAGCAAGTACATTTCTAACCCCTATCAGTATAGCCCCAGGTCCATTGTCTGCCTCCTTACTACGTCCTCTTGAGCCGAGATGGGCATTTGTGGGTCTGATTTGAGAGATTCCCTCCTGGTAACTCAGCCTCATAGCCTTTCAAGCGCATCGTGAACTACCCTGCAAGGCCTAAACTCCGAACCTTAAGCGCGCTAGTTCCTTCCTTCCAAGGAAAGGCGTGTAAGCCCCGAGATCTCATTCCTTAACCCTAAACGTACAATGTCCTGTAGGGACCTACCCCATCCTTGCAGCAACCCTTTTTTTAGGGTTTAGGGGTTTAGAGTTTAGGGTTTAGGCAACAAACTCTATAAGGCCTGGACCCCAAACTCTAAACCCCTGACCCTCAACCCTAAAACCCTATACCTGAAGCTCTTAACCGTACATCCTACACCAGGGCCCCCATTCTCAATACCCTTGGCCCTAGCCCTAAAACCTAAACCCTATACCCTAAACGGATATAGAACAGCTGAGGCGCGCCATGGGTGACAACACGACATCGTATTTCTACCAGGATATCGAGGACCCCACATTTGCCTCGAAAGCCCATGGCAATCCAAAACAGTGGGCGACTGTACGCCAAGGTGGTAGGCAAACAAGGGAAAGCAGACCATAATTATGGGTGGGTTGGGTTTAGGGCAATCTCCTTTCGCAGAACAACCCTCCACCCTCCTGGTGTAGAGAGTCTCCATTCATGGTGCATGTATCTCAAGGGAACATGTAGTCCTGGGTGGTGGTGTCAGTAATTAGAGCAAGGGATCGTTGGGTTTCGGTGCAGCGTTCTAATTCAATTGCCGCACCTGAGGCATTTCTTTTGTGCGCGCGATAACAATTGGCTCTCACTTGAGCTTGGGTTGTCACTGTTGTGGGGGTAGGTGTATATAGAACGCATGTTCACTTGGATGGACCAAACTGTAGACAAAGACCACTGGTCATGTTTCTGCGGTACGTCTTTGGGTGCTCTTTTGCAAGCCCTTACCAGAACCATAGTGAGAAGGCATTGAAAAATCCGCCAAGGGGTCAGACTTTGGTCACATCACCGCTATCCATCCTGACAAGCTTGAACGGCTCTTTGAAGCAGCAAGCCGATGCCAAGCTCTAAGCCCTAAAACCTAAACCACAAACTTGATAGTTGTTCTTTTGCGGGTGGAGGCACTCAATGTAGGAGTCCTCATAAGTTCTTTACAACCCCGAACACTATAAAAGCTTCTCCATCAATTATCTCTATGTTGTTGAATGGCACTTTTTGCTATTGCTGGTCATTCTACCCAAAACCCTCAACCCTCAACCTTGCTGTTGTTAATCAAGAGCGTGGATTAAGTAGGTATCTGCCTTAGGGCCCACGGTAAGTATGTTATTCAAAGACTTGAGGGCCCAACTTAAGTAGTAGTTGTAAGCAGGGCAAAAGGCGGTTTCCTTAGGGTTGCATCGTGCTGGACCACTCCGTAGAGGAGGATTTTGGGGTTTAGAGTTTATGGTACGCGGCTTAGAGTTGCCGGTCATAACCCTAAGCCCTAAACCGCTTTGAGCTTCTACTCGACCATTCCGTGGAGGAGGATGGCAGCGTGGTGTTTCAGTTCGAGATGGATTTCTGGCATTACCTGAAGAAGCCGCTTTGCCTTCCCAGCCATTTAGGGTACAGAACTTAAATTCGAATACCATAATCTGCCCTAGGGCTCCCTGTTACCTAAATAGTAGGTTATTGGGCTATGTAACTATAGGTTCACTGGAGCCCTAGGGATGGGAATATAGTAAATAATGGGGCTTCCTTGTTATAGTAACTTACTTCAAGTTCCTTAACAGCAACCCAGAGGACTTCCAAAACCTCGGAATTTACGAGTATGCCTGACTTGCTTCTAGGAATCTTAGCACGCTGTAGGGTTAATCCCTTCATAAGTGGTTGTGGATATTCTAGGTTCATGTTTTGCCGTGCGAGCTTGATAGAAGCTCAGTTTATCTAGGCAGAAAAAAGAACATAAGCAAATTTATGCTAG